TTATGGTTTATGGTTTATGCGTTATGGAGTGAGTGGTAGTGGTTATGGTCTCTATGGTTCAATGGTAATGTTTATTGTAATTGTAATGGTAATCATAATCGTAATAATACCAGGAGTCTATCAATTGATAGCCTCCTGATAATACTGATAATGGTAATAGTAATGGGCTTTGTAATAATTGTAGTGGTAATGTAGATGAGGGTAGCTTTATCAAAGGTACTGTCGAAATTCCGCTTAAAGCAGATCCGACGTTCCTTGCTGCAGCAATTGTTGCACGAGGCATGAAAAATAGGTTCTTATTTGTTTCATATCGATATCGTTTTTCACTCCGTTTCAGAACACGTCAACGAAAACATCGTCGTGTCGAAGCCGTTTAAGGAGGACGTGGTGCAGCCTATCCTCAAGGTAGGCACGTACATCCTTACATCTAATTAAGCATCTCCTATCAACCTAAACATCTCCTTGTTTACCTCTACCGAGTCCATCTCAGTCGGAGGAAAAATCTTCTCAAAACTCAATAATTAATCGTAATTAGTTAATTTACTTTTAATAATAATTAATATAATAATTTATTATTATTATAAGTAAATAATAGTATTTGTTAACAATAATAGGAATCAACAATAATTTAAACCTCAAATCCCTCGTTCCGTACGGGGGCATTCGATAAAAATCGAGCGAGCGAACCATACCGACACACGTTCTCTTGTCGCGTCGTTGCAGAGGCATTTCCGGCGCGACGAGTTTCTCGGCCGCATCAACGAGATGGTCTACTTCCTGCCGTTCTCTGTCTCCGAGCTGAGATGCCTCGTCGCCAGGGAACTCGAGTTCTGGGCGGCGAAGGTAGGTCACGCGGCCACGCCCCCTGGCATCTGACTTTGCGACACACTTCGATTTCAAAGTGGGCGTGGCATAATTGTGGCGTAGTTTTGGGAAGCTGAGGTTTGGGCACGGCATACATGCTACGAACCATACGGTTATCATTGTAGAGCAGTAGTCCGTATGAGATATAAAATGGAATATAAGAGAAATATATAATACAACAACAAACAACAATCGTTTTACGGCTGTTTTCCCTGCTTACGCCGGGGTTGGCCGGGAGCTCCCCATGACAGTCTCCTCCACTTTGCGTGGTATTGTGCGTCTTCACTCTTCAACCCATGTTCTTTCAAGAGAGATATATGATATATATTATAT